AATATTAGTATTAATATTACCATTTAAAATAATAATATCCCTGTGGACTGGAGTCCAACTGGCCAATCGGTAGACTGCGCATCAACAAAAATCACCAGGGAAAAGGATTAGAAGTCGCGAGGAAGTTCCAAAATGTCTTTACTTTTGTGCATTTCACTTGTAAGATTATTAATATTACAAAAAACAACAGCAATAATAAATAAAAATCTAAGCTCTTAACAAAAGTTCAAACACTCAGTTTTGTAAAACAATGAAATTCGATTGATCTAGTGAGCAAAGACTTTTCAAAAGGTGAGCAAGCTCTGCTCAGTGTCTAGGGAGCTCACTTTTATTCTTACGTTTGGGCTTAACACGTTTTTCTAAAAAATTTCAAATTCCTTTTTTCTTTTAAATTTTCAAAATTATGGAGACCTACGGAATGGCAGCACCAATAAATGACACTGCGATCGATGTGAGTTTACGGCAGAATATTTCTATTTCGCCAAAAAAAAAAAAAATAATAATTCGGCTAATATATCGAAAATTTTATTGCGTGCAGTGCTACCATCAGTATGTCGCTCAGACCGGTTATCGCTGCGAACTTCCCGAGGACGGGGACCACCTGAAGGCGTACTCCGATTGTCCCGAGCCTGCCCATTACAACAGGCTACACGATTGGTATCCCCACAGGTCGAGGAACTATCAGGATGATTGTGCACCCTACAGGGATGCTAATTATCGCTCCTCCAGACGGGATGATGTGAACAACGGCCGATACAGTTCCCGAAATGGACTATAGTAAGTGCCAGCCCCATTCGAGTTGATTTACAATTAATTTACCTATATCCCATCCCATCCCCATTGCAGTTCTCCTGCTGAATTACGCAGAGGCGGAGGAGATACATTTAACTCGTTGCCAGGTGAGCCGAGATTCTTTATATTGCTCGCACATCTACTTCTATCATCTACTTCCAGCAGGTTTGGGCAGTTATGAGCGCTCCATGTGGCAACGGGGATCACGAAATCGCTGGTTCTAGTTAAAAAGAAATATTGATTTGTGGAAATCGGAAGTCAATATCACTCATGGAGAGTCGACTGCTAAATGCGCAGAAATCGCACCAGTGCTCTTCTAAATCGTTGGATCTTGATGTTAAATGTTCTACTCTTAAATTTTTTTGGCAAATGAATCTATAGTTGGAGCGTGTATAAAATATGTATACTGCACATTGAAAGTCTATACTACCTACTTAATACCCTTATATGTATATGACTATTTGAATAGCTCTGAATATTTCCAAGCTGATAATAAACAGAAATCGTATGAAGTATAAATTGAGTATTGGTTTCATTTGATTATGAAGCCTGAGATGGATGTTGGGCTTGAAATAATAAGTAAATAAATTTAAATATGTATATTTGCGAACTATATAGGAGTGTTACTTATTCTAATGCTCAAATTTGCTTTTACCGGTTTTAATTTAACCCATTCAGTTATTTATTTTTTAAATGATTTTTGCCATTTAAATATAAATTGAGTGATGCGAATCGTCAATCTAATCTCGCTTTAATTAGCAACCTGGATCATGTCATTTGATATTCCTCAATTATAATTACTGTTCTAAGCTTACATTAAAAAATCAAATCAAAGCTTATATTAATAAATCAAAATACTTGGTGGAACCATATATATTACCTGGTAAAATTATTGAAATAATTCCCTGTGCTTACTTAGGGTATACAATTATTTTATGATATTTATATTCCGACTAGATTTGTAAATGTCTATTATAAAATAAATAAAAAAAATAAAAATAATTATAATATATATTCTACTCGCTTTTGCCAAATAAATATTGAGTGGAGTTATGCCATTTTATGTAGAATGGCATAGATTTAGTTGTAAGAAAATTTTACTGTTACCGAATGTTATATTTATATTTGCAGCTCTATTGTTATTTCAATTTGCATTGCTCCAATTGGGCTATTCTGTTTTACTAAATTCAGTATACATTGTCTCTGATCAAACCAGGAATATATATTACCATATGCGAGATTAAGTAATTAATATAGTTAGAAAAGTCGGAGCAATTAAATATTTATAGAATACATAGCCACACAGTATAAGACAGTTCTGAATAGGATGATATATAATATATTTGAACAATATAGATGAACATTTTTACATTTTTCCAAGATATTATCAACATATAAATGAATTTATGCGTTCACCTTGAGTGACATCCTAATTTTCATTCTTCGGAAATATTGGATTTTGATGTTTCAGCTATTGTTCATTATCATATTCACATCATCCGGAATATTTCTTTTTAGATTTTTTCTTGGGATTCATGACGACCGCACCCCGTTCACGCTTTTCTGTAATTACTTCTTCTTGCTTTTCATCGCCTAAGTCTTCTGATTCATTATCACTAGAAATCAAGCTATAGTTCTGACGTTTAAGTAAAACCCACCCGATCCAGTTCTCTATAGAGCCTAACTTGAATTTCGTATAAAAACGAACTATTTGGAGTAAATCGAATAACCAAGAGTGAGCTTTTCATTATTTTCAAAATATTTTCCAGTTACCTTGAATTGTTAAGCCAGTTTGATGTTTTTCCCTTCTCCAAGTTACACTGACTTCACGACTTGCTTTATATTTATATTTTTTATACATCTGTTTTTTTGACCATTTGCGTGGTTTACGATTTTTCTCAGTTTTGCCTTTCATCTCTGTGCTTTGTAGTAAGACTGAATAAAAATATTTCGTTTTCTCTGTAATGAAAAATTTTTATGTCAAGTCACAAAATGCTCAGTAGGCGATTGATTGGCCATTCGATAGACTTGCTAACAATCGATATACATCAATGTGAATGACACTTAGTCGTCGACAGATACACATCTATCAGTCGAATGTCGACTATATTCAGATAGTTATAAATAAGTCATATTCATGAAAAAAGACTTCTTTTACAATTAACTCCTTTAGCTCCTTAAATAGAAAATATATTAATAATTTAATCAAAAATTTGAGGCAAATATATTTTCGTTGTAAAATCCATTTTCGGCACCTTTCCCTGAGCACAACAGAATTGTTTCGTTCAAAATGAGCAAAACGGACAGCATAGAAAGCTGTGAGCGTATTGTGAAGATGAGCTGGACGAGCGCCTCAAGACTAACGACAATAGTTAGATATCCTGTTTAAGGATCTGCCCCACTCCCCACACCGCACACCCCAGACCCCACACCCCATGCCCCACACCCCATGCACATCCTGCGCTTGCTCGCTCATATTTAGCTTGTCGCCCCGCATAGAAAGTGGCGGTGTCATAAATTAAAACTTAAACTTTTGGAAATGTCAAGTATAAAACGGTAAATCTCCGCACATATATACCGAGAAGCACTCCTCCAAACGAACACACACACATAGAGAGAGACGCCCGTCTGTTGGAAATGAATTGCAGCAACAGGATCAGGGTGGGGGGCTGGACTGGTCTGTTGGCCCGGATGGGACGGACGCCCATTGAATGCGCATGTTTTAGTTTTTGGGCGGCTGCCACCAGATACCGAGGGAGGGCAGCTGAAAAACTATACAGGGAACCAAGAAAAAGCACAACAACAAGGCCAGCCAACAGAAGCAGCAGCAGCAGCAGCAGCAGCAGAGGAAAACTCCACCCGTTTCACATAAATTTGGGAAAAGCAAACTTACAGATTATCCGCATTTAGTTGTAAAGGTTCCACAAAATGTGTTGTATATCATTTATGCTGCTGGCTGGCTGGTCGTTTGGCTGGACTTTTGAGAGATGAAAGTTGGTCCGGGGATCGCTGGCTGCTGTCGATGATTTACATTTGATTTACTTTCACTGCCTCCTTGACTTTTTTTCGTGCATTTCTAATTTCTGGGCGAAAAACTTTTGCTCATTTGCAATAAATTCTAATGTGCATATGCCACGCCCCCACCGCCGCACTCGGTCAGCCCCTGTGCCACCTAAAGTTCAACTAAATATTCTAATCATCATAAAATCTTGTTATTTTCATAACTCGCCCGAAAAAAAAAAAAATAATAATAAAAAACAGGAGACAACAAAAAACCCTCCGACACATTAAGCGGCGTCCCGAAATGAAATTTACTATTGCCAAAGTGAAAACATTTAAGTAAAATTTATGAAAATTAAAATGCTAAACAACTTTCTGGTCATTCGAAAAATTTAATTGATCGCATAAATTGCTTGAGTGAGTGCCGCTTGGCTAGCCACCCAACTACCTTACCTACCCCCACCCAACAACAACAACAATAACAGCAACAATTTATGTCAATTTGCCATGGCACAAATTTAGGCAAGGTGAGAGAGAGAGAGAGAGAGAGAGCGATAGAGTGAGTGAGAGAGGGGGAGGGAGAGCTGTAGCTGTAGACGAATGAAGTGTAACCGCGAAACATAATCAAATTTCGTTGGTGTCGAGCTCCAGCATAAGTTTCTGTTGCCCCCACCTGCTGCTGGCAACTGACACCTGACCAGGACCTTCAGCTTGGGAATGTGTGTGTGTGTGTGTACTTTTTTCTCTCTTTTTGCCCACTGGACGCTGGACGCTAAAAATTGCCATCTTAATTTGAAAACAATTTCGTGGCCTCCGTGTTGAGATTTTTTTCGCCCCTCAGTTAGACATTCATTTCTCTAGGGAAAGTTTTGTAAGGAGAAGAAAATCTGAAAAGTTTTTAGCTGAATATTTCTTTTTCCCATAGACAACCACGAGTTGAAAGCATTTTCAAAGGTTTTTTATAAAGCCAGCCATATATGAAT